TTCGGCGCGAGTCTAATGCTAGGTAAGAACTCTTTCGCCTGCGGCTGTTTACTCCTTCGTGCCACAGGTAAAGGTAAACAGCCGTGGCACAAGCTGTGCGCGAGGAAGGGAGAGGCAGGAGCTAGTTGGTCTGACGAGTTGACGTTTGCACGCCAATTGATTTGGCATTGAGGAGGCGAACACACCGTAAATAACCCTAAATAAAACCATAAAATCCTTCTGCATGTTGCGCTTTTGTGCGCGGGCTCAAACCCATCCTCACCTTGAGAGCCCAGCCATGGGTTAAGTTGTTTCCCATTTTATTTTTTTTACATTTCATTTGCAATTTCGCTTTCTCTTCTCTTTTTTTTTTTTTTTTTAGCGAACTCGTAAATGCTGTTAGTGCACATCAGTTTTTTATGCAATTTGTTGTCAACGAAGAGATTTGCCAACAGAAATTTTCGATCCTTGTTTAGTTGGAATTGCGTGCGTTTTTTACGCAACGCCACGCAACAGAACGCAGCATTTTTTCGTCGGTTTGTTGTTTTTTATGAGCCAAAGTTGACTTTTTTAGTGAAAATGATGATAGAAGGCTGGACAAGTACCAGGAAGTCCTACGTCCAACAATGTGAGAGGGGAAGAGAGGAGGAGAGAGTGAGAGAACGGCAGAAGTCGCTGCTAGATCATGGGATGCATGGGCCAGAGCACGGCCAACGGGTTAAGAGCAAAGCAAAGGGGCGTGCGGTTCGTCTAACCCTACGGCAGTCCGAAGCCTTTACCTGCCCACGCCCATAATCCTTTTATGGCAAATAAACAAACATGTCACGGCTCGGCTCGGTACGGTCCGGCACGGCACGGCAGCCCAGTGCAGTGGGAATCCTTAGCCGTATCGGGCCTAAACCTTTGGCTAGGTAAAAAGCAGCTCGCGCAAAAGGGTGCAATAAACAGAAGAGTTGATGGCCTGATGAACGGGCTGTGGTGGTTAGCCGGTTAGAGTCCTGCGTTCTGGGTCCTGCGACTTGTACACGCGTTTGCCATTGTTGCACGGCCAGTTTTATGGGTGTGTGGTTTTAGCCCTTTGATGTGCATGATCATCCTGTTAATAGAAACCGTAACGCTACCTGGTCCACTGTGCGCCCTAATCCTTTCGGAAACCCTTTTGGCCATCATTGCGGCCATCTCGCGAGCGTGTCCAAAGCGATTTAATTAACGCGGTCGCATCTAAGCTCACGGCACCAGGAGCAGTAGCTGCGCCTAAATCCTTTCGCTGGCCGAGGGGCGTACTGGCTGCTTAACGCCCAACGGCTACCGAACGGAACCCATTGGCAAAGGGTTGGCCCAGGAGCTGTTCTGCCACTTCCAGCGAAAGGATTTAACTCTTAACTTGCCGTTCGCTATTTTGCCCGGAAATTTCACGAATATTTACCAAACAGCCAAGACAGTTGACTTTATAAGACCTGACTATGATGTCGACTAAAGTCGAAAAGTCAAGCCAACCAAAAACTATACAAAATGGTCGACTGAGCTGCAAAATGAGAGGATCCCAGACGGATGATGTATAGAGATTACAGATAAGCTCGGGAATCGGCTGGACCCTTTTTAACTCTACAATTTTCTTTGTTCTACTTCGGAATGTGCTCAGGAATATGCTACAAAATATTTACTATAAAGATTAAGAACCAAGGAAATTATATAATATTCCAGATTTTTGACATATTTCTATATATATATCCATATAAGCTTGCATGGAACTAAAATTACACATTCAATATTCTCATATATTATAAAAATTATATAAGTAGGCAAACGAACCCAAGGATCCCAGGTCCCAGGAAACTATCCGTTGGAAGAACTTTTACTGTATACAAAAATTAAGATCCTGTCTCCGATTTCTTTCAATTCTTACTAAGCTTCAAAGAAACCTGCCTTTAATACCTATATTACACAACTTGTTAGTTAATTAAACCTTCCAAAATTAGTTATATTTGTGTGCGCAAATTAACGGCATCTTTTTGCGTGCCTTAATTGGACCGTATTTCGCGCAACCAGTTTTGCCTTCCCCTCTGCTGCGCAGCTCGACTTTGTGCATCACGCGATCTGGCCTGCCCTTATAAAGCTGCTACCCCACCCCAAAGAAATATACCAAAAATAATCTAAATAAAAAAAACAAACCGTTTGTTTTGAGCTTTTACCTGTGGCTAAATTTAGAACGTCTACCGTTGTTTACTTGTATTTTTATTTTTTTTTTCGCTGACGCTGCTGCCGCAAATACAAAAGGCAAGCAACCCCCCACCCTGCCCCCTACTACGCGTATTGAACTCTGTGCGACGTCAGCGGCGCCGTTGGCAGCGGCTACGGCCCGTTGGCCCAAAATGCGTCGTTACGTTAATGAGTAATAAAATACTTGCACAACAACAACAACAAGAACAATTGTGCAAAGATTTCAGTGTGGCTGCCTCTGTTGTTGTTGTTGCATTGCCAAAAAGTACAGCGCCATTAAATGCATGAAAACAACAACAACAACAACAACAACAGCAACAACAATAACAATAATAGTGCATTGCGTTTAGCGCATTTCACGCGCGCTTTACACATGCGGCCGCTGCGTTGGCGATATTTATGGCATTTTAATCGCGAGACGCGCGCGCAAAGCGCAGCGAAATGTACGGACAAAATGTATTTTGCATGGGCGGCCATGAAGCTTGCTCATCTCGCTCACTATCCATCTCTCGCTCTCACGCTCTCTCTCTCTCTCTAACTGATCTAAGACCCAACGGCTTGCTCGTTCTGTCTGACGTTCGCTCTCACGCTGTTATTTTTAGTTACATGGGGCTGCTGCTGCTGCTGCTGCGCTGTTGCCAGCAGGGCAGAGTCTGGCGCGTGGGCGTCGCTGCCACTGCTACGCTGACGTCGCTGTCGTTGGTGTAACACCGCAGCCTCTGGCGCTCTGTTCCGCTGCGCCCGCTCGTCCTCTTTCGCTCTCTCCCTCTCTCTCTCACTGTTTAAATTTAGACGCAATTAGCAATGCGCACATTTTTGCGTTGTTTTTGTGTGTGTGTGTGTGTTTTTCAGGCGGACTATAAATTTTTGCCACAGTTTATTTTAGACGCTGCATGCGATCAGGCGCGCCAAACAACTGTATGTTGCTTGTGTATGGGTGTATCTGTGTGCCACATCCTACACCTTAGCTGCCAGTTGCTGTTTTTGGCCAGAAGCAGCAGCAGCCACATGATGTAAACGCTGCCAGTATGCAATTAAATTGGCATGCACAAGTGCCGCCAGCGTAGCTGCCGCCAGCCGCGGGCGGCAGCCTTTTGATCGGCTGCCAAATTGTAATTGGAACGCGAAGGTGTTGCCCGACGTCCGACTCTGGCCGGGGGTCTCTGCTGTGCAACCTTCTAAACAAACCATAAAACGCATAAAACTCGTGACTTTATACACTATGCAACGCCACACGCGCAACACAGAAAGTTGACCCACTTAGCCAAATGCATAAACAACGCAAAATCATGCAACTAAAAGCTGCATTTTATAGAGCTTTAATACCCATGCAAATGCACACGATTTATGAAATTGTAAAGCTTAACATTCTTACAGCCAGCAAGTAACAGAGCTTTTTACTGTTGCGCACATTACATACACATCTACATAGCATAGTTCAACTAACAGCTTTTGCAAGCTCAGCTTACAAGAACGTTGGACAGATTGTTTAACGCTCTGTTACACTCACTCTCACTTTCGCTGCCGTTGCCATGTGATTTACACATGTGTACGTACGCTCTGTTATCTCTTTGCCCATTGATTTAACATTATTTTACACAAGCATACATATGTACATGCTAACATATGTTTATGCCAGGCAAATAGCCACAAACATACTCAAGATTCGTCTACCCAGTGAATGGGAAAAGCCATTTATATTGTTGCCTGTTGCGATTAAGGCGCCAACCTTCGAGAAACTGATAACTCCAAACGTGAGAATCCGCGCTGCACGTAGACGCCATAAAAACAAATCTAAGCATTGCCAGACGCACGTGTAAAGCGCTCATCAGCCTTGCCTCAAAGCATTGATTGATTCAAATACACGCACACACAAACACACACACGCACTTGAATGTGTGCCAGTGTAAGTGACCTTCTGTGGCTTAATTGCCGCGACTGGCATGCGGAATGGGTTACAGTTACATGGCGCACAGTCAAAAAAAATAAATTAAAGTACAAATAATTTGGAGCATTCGCGTGTGTGTGTGTGCGTGTGTGTGTGTGGTTGTTAGATTGTGGGTGACGCAGGTGTTGCGGTGCCGCCCGCTTCCGCTTGGCGTGCGCACAGCCCCAACTGCGCGAGCAACCTTGTGATCTTGTTTACTGTTTAGCGACCCCACCGATCACGACATCATAACACATACACACATACACACATACACACATACACACACACACACACCTACACACACACATGCAGACACAACGAGGCGCACGAACCTGTCGGCGCTGGGGTGGCGTCATATCAACATTAAGTCTCTGGGTGAGCTGCTGCCGTTTGCTATTTTCACCTTCTATGGGACGACGACGCGTCGTCGCGTTGGCCGCATGAATCAGCGCCACGCTCTCCTGTCGCTGTCGCTATCTCTGTCTACGGCGTATCCGTCAGTGACTGTGTTGCGCTCTCGCGCATTTTGTGAATCCCGCTCGCACGCTCACTGGGGGTTTTGATATTTCCAAAAAGGAAGAAATGCCCAATAGAACTTGCAGTGCTTTTTTTTGCGTTTAGCGAGAGAGAGCGAGAGAGGGGGGCGTATGAGTAACTGTGCGCTCTCGCAAAGGCCGCGGCGTAGGTAAACTGACTGCACACACAGGTAGAGCCGACATCGTTGCTACCTACATAAACACACAAATGTGTGCAGCCAAATATCTTGTATGCGTGTGTTTGTGTGTGTGTGTGTGTTGGTGTGAGTGCCTGGTCGTGTGGCTCGCGCTGCGGCGATTTCGATTTAGCCAGCGAACCTGTCGATCAATCGTCAGTCGTCTGCTGTAAGCCCATGCGATAAGGTGGTCGCCAGCAAAAACGCACGCATACATAAACACACAAGCACCAATACGCACTCGCACACACATTGCCGATTCGTCGTCGTACCAAACGATCGTTCGTCGTCGCTCGCTTCGTGCTTCGGGAAACGTTTAATCGCGCTGCATTTAGAACCTGACAGCCATTCGCTTGCCGTAGCTTGTAGCGTGCGGTTGCCTCTCCCATTCAAGCGGAAGAATATAAGATATAAAAACTCTCCAAGCAATATTATAACGTATTTCGACGTAGTTTCGCCTCGTCGTCGTTGCGCGAAAGTGAAAAGTGATCTTGAAACTGAAAACTAAACAAATCAATTGTATTGCAAGAATTACACAACAACAACAAACAAACTAAGCAGTGCAACAAACTAACTGTAAAGAAAGTGCGCAGCAAATTTCTGCATTTGCTGCTAGTGCAAAAAGAAAAGAAAAACTCTATCAAACTGTGTCTTAAACTGCATAAACAATATATAGCCGATATCGAGATGGTTACCGGCATTACCACAACCATGAGCCCCAATGTATTGGGCACCGCTGTCGTCTCCACGCAGCAACAGCAGCAGCAGCAGCAGCACAAGGAGGCGCCAATCAAAAGCGATCGTCGGGTAAGTGTTGAGAAAGACAACCAAAAAAAAAGAAAAGGAGAACCGTACAAAATGGAAATTGACAGCAGCTAAACTTGGGATTAAAAAGCCAACAAATTAGAGATGCGCATGCTAAAGAGGCGTATCTTATGTAGCCATAATTTATGCTCTTTAGCTATTTTCTTTTTCGTTTGTTAATTTGCCAATTTGGGCATATTTCATAAGAAATTTATAAATATTTTACAAGCGATTTGAAAATCAAATACAAGTTAGCTGTTGTCTCCCACTTTGTAAGCGAGTCCCACACACAGTTTGCCAATTCTGCTGCCCAAATGCATTTCCTTTTTGGCCACAATTCGTTGCCGTCGTCGTCGGCTCCCACATGCCACCGACTGTGGCCACAAGTATGGCCATAAGCCGTCGGCTCGCCAACACACGACGCCGCCGTCTCGCGTTGGCGGCATTTACGTTGGGGCTTCATTCATGGAGCTAACGCCAGACAGACGAACGGACAGACAGACGGACGGACAGCCAGATGGCCCGGTCCATTCATGAGTGCCACCCAAAATTGGTTGCGGCTGCCCACTTGAGCGGCTTCCATTTGGCGCGTGGTCGCTGCAATTGTCGGTCATCAGCTTCTCTTTTGGGATGGAGAAAAAAAAAAGCTGTCGCTCTGTCGCTTTTGGCCGTTTTTGGCTTTTGCCGCTGACTTCATACAGTGCGGGCGTCGCGCTGCGCCAAATTTGGCCAGAACCAAATTTCATTCTGCAAAAAAAAACACAACAACATTTTTTGTTGTTATTTTGTTTTTGCGTCTTCGAATTTCCCACGACGACCTTGTTGTTGTTGTTGTTGTTGTTGTTGTTGTTGTTGGTAGAAATACCTGCGTGTTGGTTATTTATTTTTGGCCGCAGCGGCTCGTTGCTTATCGTAATTTATAACCGCCAAAAACTATTTTTGGCCACACGGCGGGCGAGTGCATGAGCGCAATATAAATAGAGCACGCGCCGCGCCGCTGTCTTTTGGCCCCCAGCCAGTGCGACGGCGATGACAATGTTGAGTCCGTGTCCAATTAAAGCCACACGCAGATGCCTCTATTTTCGTTGGCGCTGCATGAGGTCAAACTGTGCCCCAACTGTGCATCCAAATGGCCCAAACTCGTGACTAATCTCAACCCTTTCTCCCTCTCTGTCTCTTGCAGTCGAACAAACCGATTATGGAGAAACGTCGACGTGCACGCATCAACAATTGCCTGAACGAGCTTAAGACTCTCATCCTGGATGCTACCAAAAAAGACGTAAGTATCTCTAGAGTCTATCAAAATCCACAAAAAAAAGAACTTCAACCCTGCCCCGCAACGCTTTCACCCTTTTGATAAATGCACACTTAACTAACTTTGGATTTGTTTTGCTTTTGCTTAATTTTAGCCGGCGCGTCATTCCAAGCTGGAGAAGGCCGACATTCTGGAGAAGACAGTCAAACATCTGCAGGAACTGCAGCGCCAGCAGGCAGCCATGCAACAGGCCGCCGATCCCAAGATCATAAACAAGTTCAAGGCCGGCTTTGCCGATTGCGCCAATGAGGTGAGCCGCTTCCCCGGTCTCGACTCCACCCAACGTCGCCGTCTGCTGCAGCATCTGAGCAACTGCATCAATGGCGTCAAGACCGAACTGCATCATCAGCAGCGCCAGCAGGCGCTAGCCCAGGCGCAATCGCTGCATGCCCAAGTTGTGCTGCCCTCGCCGCCCAGCTCGCCGGAGCAGGAGCCGTCCGTCACGCCAGTTGCAGCCAGCGGCAACAACAACAGCAGCAGCAACAACACCAACACAACAGCGCCCTATCTTTTTGGCCAGATCCAACAGAATGCGAATGGCTACTTCTTGCCCAATGGCATGCAGGTGATACCGACCAAGCTGCCCAACGGCAGCATTGCGCTCGTGCTGCCCCAGAGCCTGCCACAGCAGCAGCAGCAGCAGTTGCTGCAGCAGCACCAACATCACCAGCAGCAACAGCAACTGGCAGCAGCCGCGGCTGCCGCTGCCGCCGCCGCTGCAGCCGTGGCACAGCAGCATCAGCAGTCACCGCTGCTGGTGGCGATGCCGCAGCGCACGGCCAGCACCGGTTCCGCCAGCTCGCACTCCTCGGCCGGTTACGAATCGGCGCCGAGCAGCAGCAGCAGCAGAGGCAGCTATGCGCCGCCCAGTCCCGCCAACTCCGCGTACGAGCCTATGGATGTGAAGCCCTCGGTTATACAGCGTGTGCCGCATATGCATTTGGAGCAGCAGCCGCTCTCGCTGGTCATCAAGAAGCAGATCAAGGTGGAGGAGGAGCAGCCCTGGCGGCCCTGGTAAATGAGCCAGGCGCTCGTTCTCCCTGTCTCTCTCTCTCTCTCTATTAGATTGGGTTCAGTTTTGAATCTCCTCCCGCCAACCCGCCAACCGCTTTAAAGACTGATGGGCGTCGCACACACACACGCACACACACACATACACTCACACTTGCGCAGGCGTTGAGAGCATTGCGCAATTGACATTTCACCACATTTCGCCAGGATAACGCAAATGTTGCTTTGAAGTGTTCCGAGCATGCGAGACTCCTAATTTGTTGAAATCTCGCCGAAGTTCATTTTCCACTGGAAAATGCCCATCGAGATGGAGACATTCATCACACACACACACACACACACACACAAATTGTTATAATTTATTTATTATTATATTATTATTGTGAATTCATTTCTCAAATGGTATTCTGCATATCGCCAAACTACCTCAGTCCAAGTACTTGGTGTTGAATTGCCTCATGAATCATGTATTAGAATTTTATTTTAGAGTTTCATGCTACACACACACACACACACACACACACACACTCACACACACACAGCAATGAAATCTTCAAAGTCTTCCACAAAGCGTTTGTGTTTAAAGTCGAAATTAGTTTTGACAAAAACTTAACTATAATTTTAATAATACCTTATATCTCTCTCCATTTAAATATAGTTTCACGTATATATAGTATATATGCTAAGCCGCTTAGGGTTTTTCTATTGTCTGTAAGCTAAAGAAAGTATATATATATATATACACATACATACATGTATAGCGATCTATTTGTAAGACCACGTGATATAGTGAACATAATGAGCGTCTAAGGAAAAGCAAAAACAAGAATTTTGAAAAAAAAAAGAAAGAAAACGGAAAAACAAAAACAAACAGTTGACCAACACTCAACAAAAACCAACTACTAAAAAAGAATAAAATATATAACAAAAAATCGTACTAAAAATTAAATACGCACAAAGTGTTTTCTTCTTCTTTGATTGAAAAGGTCTAAAAACCTTGGTGAAAGCCTGCAGCAAAACTACAAAACAATAAAAACTCTTAAGAAACGGTGTTGTAAAACGCCGGAGTCAGCGTGGAACCATTAAAAGAAAAGCAACAGGTGCGAACTATTTGTGCAAATTGAAATATGTTCTGGCCTGGAGTTCCTGCCATACAACAGGGCTTGGCCCAGAGAATTACGATCGCAATTTTGTGATAAATGTGTTCTTTGTGCTTTTTTTTCTGATGATTTCATACGCATATCTTTGCGTACTTGTCGTATACGTATAAATAATGCCCGCTGCTTTGGCTAAAATTTCAAAATATTTTGCAATATAATCAGGCAAACGTTTTTTTTTCGTTTTTTTTTTTTTTTTTGTTTTTTTTTTTTGTTTCAGCAGAACAACAATATATTTGGTTCACATAAAGTTATCAAATGCTTTTGAAACATGATGATATATTTGTTTACTTCGCCAAATAATTGAAAAATATCTTGCACTTGAATTTCAAGACATTTCAGCAGAAAATTTAGCGCAACGTCATGTGAATCGGAAGACTCAGGAATTTAGTTAAGGTTTTTCGTGGACAATGCATACAAAATAAAAAAAAAATATATATATATATAGTAAGTATAGTTTTTTTTCTACATAGAAGCATGACGCCAGTTCTATGACTAACTGAGCGACTGCTGCAATTAGGTTAAACATAATTAAAGATTTTGATAAGAGGTATTATTATAAGATCTTGCATCAGATATTTGCAATGATGCACAGCATCCAGTTTTAGCTCGCGATGATGTGAGAATCAGATTCAACAAAACTGTTGTTCATGTTAATCAAATATGAGTCTAGCCCCCTCTCTCTCTCTCCGCCCTGCTCGCTGTAAAACAATTAGGAACAGCCACTGTAATATTCCATGACTTAAGTACAATGTACAATAAACTTGCAGAGTGCTGGCAGCTAGTCACAGAGTGGACTTTAGTTGTCTATAAAACGAAACAAAAAGTCAGCGGGTTTTCTAATCTACGATAATACCCTGCAATTACTCGTCATATGCTCGCGGCAAAAGTTTCCGCCAAGTCTGCTGCAATGGAGGGCGAGTCCAGAGCAAAAAGCGAAAAAAAAAAAACAAAAAACTGTACACTTCCATTTGTGCTAAATCATGCTGATAATATGAGACGATATATGCTCATATCGTTGACTCAAAAGTGGAATTTTGTTTTTCATGAATCAAATGCACTAGGCAAACAAACAAGCGCGGACTCATTAAGTTTCAACTGGTCCAAGACGACTGCCCACCAGTCTATATACACTTATAAAGCTGCATACATATATTGACCAACTTATTTACTATAGCCAGCTATCTAGATTGTGCTGGGAAGAGCGTCGCCGGGTCTGAGCTGTGCAATAAGCCGTGCGGCCCAAAAGTCTAAAGTAAATTAACAAGATAATATGAGTTGGAAAATTGTGTAATTCAATGTGATTCTTATTTCAAAATGTCTTTGTCTTTCACCAGAAATCGCAATTGTCTGATTAATTTTTGAGTCCGAATTGATTGCACTTGAGTTAGTCACGCGTAAGGTCAAACCTTTAAAACTATATGCGTCAGACTTGGCAGCACTTAAGCTGTTGCTTACTTTTAAGCGTATTTATTTACATATAAGCCAAAGTAGTTCAAAAAGTGTTTTCTAAGCTCCAAGAAATTTGATTAAATCACGATAAAACCGCAAACCTGAGGCATCAATTTGAGACTGAATCATCGATTATGTTAGGTTTAGTATTAAAAATCTATAAAGGCAACTTGCGTATGTCAATCTTGGAAAGAATATGAGAAAAACGTTCATATAAGTTTGCATAAACACAATTTCGAATAAGCAAAATTTGAATAAGTATTTACAAGCTTTATAGGCAGCACTGTGCGATAACACTGCACATAAAAACAATATTCATATTAAACGAAAATGGGCAGCACTTTTCCCGAACTGTGCCCGTTTAGTGCTCCCTAAAATAAGTTAATAAATCGATCAAATATAAGTATGTAAGTAAACGTAAACAATGTATTTCAGAAGAAAGGTCATGTGAAAGGCAGGCAGTTCATTTTAGTGTATCAATTAATTATATGTGTGTTATTATATAGGCTGCACTCTAACAAAATATTGTCTATCAAAATAAATTGGCAGCACTTTAACCAAAAGGTGTCCGTTTAGTGCTGCCCTTTTGTTTATCATTCGATTGACCTTAAATTTAACAATTAAAGTTCTACTTGTTAAGAATTGTGTGTATATCTGTTGTTGGCAGACCTCAAGTGATTTTCAGGTTGAATCCGTTTAGAGCCACCCAAGCCGCACACGTCCCCAACTGCGCCACAATTCTGGAAATGTGCTCCGAAAGCGAAGAGCACAAACCGCAATTTCGCATTTTGCGCGTGACAAAAAACGTGATTTGTGCGATGTTTTGTTTTTTTTTTTTTTTTTTTTTTCTTGTGTGGTTATTATTATTATTATTTTACTTCCAAAAATAAATTACTATATTTAAAAGCTAATAAATGTGTAGCTATATTTGTGTGTGTAGTTATATAGGTTATTTTGCGTTGCGGTGCATTTTTATGTCCGTAAGTGGATGCGGCAAAACAACAAAATAATACTTTTATATATATATATATATATATATATATATATATAAAATTGAACAAATATAAAGGGGAGCAGAACCAAATCGAAAAACAATGCAAATCAAATTGCAAACGATAACGGGACAGGCCGCTTGGCAGACAGCGGATGCAAGATTCGAAAGATATGCATTCCTATAAATATACTTATATAGTATATAAGTATTTATATATACATATGTATATGGAGAAGTACCGTTGTTATTGTCAACGTCGCCATAGCTGAGGCGATCAGGTTGCTAGCTTTGCCCTGAAGTTGGTTGAGTTGGTCAACGGGCGGGTCTCCGGTCGCTCCGGTCACGTGCCGCACAAGGTGATACGCGATGGTCGTGTAAGCTTTTAAGCAAATAAAACCAGCCACAACCTGGCCCGACATGACATGCTACTTACTATCAGCTCTCTGGCTCGATAGGCTGTGTAAATATATACATATATGTATTTTTTTTTCCCACCCAACAGGCCACTTTTATGGCGCAGTCCGAAACGGCCGATTAGTAAAAAAGAAGAAACAAAAAAACTGTAACTGGGTGAACAAATGGCTTAGGTTAGTACTCGGCCCATTTGTGGTATCAAGCTTGGGTGACCTTGCCACATGAACTGCTGCCAGCGAGTTGAATGTCAAAGTCAGGGAAACACAGCCACAGCCCCGACTTATGGCTATGCCAAGCACGTCTATCTATATAAATATGTTTGTGTGTGTGTGTATAGTTGTTATAAAAACAATAACAAATGCCGACGTTGACGATAGGCGACCTTGAGGGCGGGTTTTCGGGCATGTTAATGTGTTTGAACCTAGTTTTGTTTTTTTTGCGGTTGAGGGTTTGCACAGCTTGAAACTAAATGCTTTTTTTTTTGACTAGAACCAGAAGAGTGTTAAGTTCTAGAACCGTGAACTATTCATAATTTATTTGCAGCTCATATTTCCTATTAAATTCGTATGCAAAAAAAATAAAAAAATAAAACGCCTCTAATCAAAAGTCAAAAAACGAGTTCAATAAACCAAAAAGCAAACAAGCCAAGCGCAGTTTTAGCCAAGTAATTGTTATTGTAGCTGGTAGCGGGTGTCAAGAGCAGTCAACAGTTTTTGTTTTGTCGAAGTCATTAAACTTGGCTCCCATTTGACATTGCCAACTGGAAGTGAATAGACAGACAGACAGACAGACAGGCAGGCGGACGGACGGACGGACAGTTTTGTCTACGTTCGATTAGCAATCGCAAAATGGCCAAAAATCTATATTTGTCGAGCAGTTCATTCAACTGACTTTTGATTTTTGCGCATTTCAAACTTTCAACTCGAACGAAAATGTTTCCTTATCAGCTGTGTGGTGCGATTTCCACGAATTTTAGTGGTTCAGTCATGTGAGTGCGTCTTGAATTTCTATGAATGAATGAATGCCGCATGCCACACAGCTCATTATAAACATGGCCAGCGATTCCATTGAATGCAACCCGATGCCGCAACAACAAATGTTTTGCACTCACCCGCGCCTCCTCCCCTGGGATGGGGTCATTTGCCAGAGCAAAACGTGACAACTGCGTTGCCCGCATTCCAATTGTTGTTGTTGTTGTTTTTTTAATCTCAGTGCCTCAGTGCCTCAGTCTGGAGTCTGCTTAAATGGGAGCGCCATGAAGTACATATGTACATATAGTGGAGCTGCACAGTCGAATCTTGTTTATGAAATTTCAATTTCATTTGTGCGCAACTGGAACTAATATTTTTTGGCGGCACCAATTGCCGCACAGCCACCGGCACGACGAGCAGAATCAGCAGCAGAACCAGACGACACGCTGACTGGCACTGCTGGTATGCAGACAATGGCATGAAAATTGCAATTTGCACAACAGTTGTGCGTTTAACGCAGTCCACACTATTGAAAAATACACATTTATTAAATCTCTATAGAGTTTTCACTTTTCAATTAATCTAACTGTTAATCTGACTCAAATTGGCGCACGTGACACAGTTGATCGGAGCCAAGGTTGCCCATTTGTTGCGTGGGCGGTGTGACCGACCACGCGACAACAAAGCGACCCTGCGCCAAAATTTAGAACGGCTGGCAACAACAACAACAGCAACAACAGCTTATTGCCGCCAAAAGTTGTTGACGCGTAAAAAGTAATTTGTTTAGTTGCGCTTTGTAAAATCAAATTAAAAGTGTTGTATATGCCGTACTTAGCCAAATAACGTCAATTTCGCGTGTTGAGTGCAATATTTAGCCAATGTGCTTATCGAAATGCAATTGCATTATGTGCCTGTGATAAGTTTAAGTGTTTCAAGTGTAAGTTCTCCCGCAGCGCGTCGCAATTAATTTGACGGGTGCTAAAAAAAAAAAAAAAAGAAAAAGTGCCGCAAGTGATATACAAGGCTTTAAATGTTTAACCACCTGTTATTGGTGACCACACACGGGGCGATTAGACAAGTCTTGCGGCTACCTCAGCAGATTCGAGTCCAAGTGTGCCAAAGGAAAAGTCCAGCGCGGTAAGTGGGCAAAATTTTCCATGATTTACACCAAATCAATTAAGCGCTGACAATCAAATATATAAATAAATATGTATATGTATTTATAAAGTTGATTAGCACCCAACTACGTTGCCCCTTGCCGGCGACATTTGTGCCCTGATCAGCTCAGCTCGCCGGTCACGCCCACTCCACGCCGGAAATTAGCACTCGGTCGATCCGAGTTGGATACAAATGGGGTTTACGGCTTTTGCAGTTCTGCAAAACGGTCCACAATTTGCAATTTGGCACGGCGTTTACCAGTTTTGTTATTGTTGACTTGGCACATTTTTTTTTTCTGATTTATTTGCGCGGCGTATATTAATGCCCGTTCATGAAGGGAAACGGGTATATAGGCTTTTCAATTGTCAATGGGAACGACTGATTGGCTCCTCTTTAGATATATAAACAGGCTTATTAGGGGCGTGGGCCATCGAGGAAATCATTAACTTCATCAGCTTTAGAGCTAGAGCAAAAATTGGTATGAAGTCTAAGGATGAGCAAAAAATCGATAAGAAAATATCGATGTTATCGATATCTTTTAATAGTGTTCGGGCGACTCAACTGTTGTTGGACTGCAAACGGGCATAATGCAGTCGGTTGCACTCGACTGCAAAATACTTGTTTTCATTTTTTTTTTTTTTTTTTGATTGAAATCAAACAGCAGCGCGTCAGTTGTTTGTGGGGAACTGTGGGAATATTCCATTGCAGCGTGCGGCCCTGTTTACCCAACTGTTTACCGCCCAGCATACTGGAAGGCGTCGTGTTCCGCACTCATCCGCACCGCCTCTGGCCAAAATGTGTTAATATGTGGCAAACAGTTGTGTGTTTGTGTTAGTTGCGGTTTGTGCGGGGGAGTTGGCATTGTAAATTGTTTTTTTTTTGGCCATCTAGTGGCCGGACCAGTGCCCCACACCGCTTGCTTATTACAGCATTGATCGATCGATTTGGCGCTCTAATCTGTGGCTTCTGGCCCGTGTCGATCCGTGCCGTGTGCGGCGCCAGCTTCATATACATACATATATGTCTGAGGCGAGTCTCTGCCTTTTCCACGAAATGCTATTGTTGCTCTTTGTTGACTCTGCTATTTAGAGCGTGCGAAAGGCTGGACCCGATCGCACTGTCCCCAGCCCCAAGCAAGCCAAAAATATATAAATATATATATATATATATAGTATGCATAACATATATGCGCCATATGACTAGGCTCGCGTTGCCTTTAAACGTGACTGGCCAACTTCAAATTAACTTTTCATTTTTTGTTGTTGTTGTGATGTATGCACTTGAACGGGGTATCGAAACGTTGGCGACAAGCTAATCAATACAAATTATACATATTTTATATATGTACATATTTCGGTATCAGGTCTTGCATTGTATTTAGTTGTTGTTCGATTTCCATGCTGGCCAGCATATTTTATATTATATAAAGCAAGCACGCGGCCTTTGTTTTTGCTGCGATCAATTAAAATTTTGGCAGGCGCATGTCAAGCCGCGTGCTACTTAGTTTGGCATAACTTTTGGACTTAACAGCAGGTTATATTTCTGATAGCCTGCGCACATATATTGGCTAGGCAGAACTGTAATTTCTGGGGTATATAAAACGCATAAAAAGTGGAATGTTTCAATTTACAAATGTTTACCCAGTCGAACTTCACTAATTTGTTTTCATTTATCTCTCGTAACATTTTTGCTATATGACTACATATATAATTTGAAAGCGAGCCCTTAGATTAAAGTTTCATATTCAACGCGCTTCAAATGGGGGTTGAGATCGAGTTCGACGCTTTACGATGTGACTTAAGGTGTGGGAAATTTGTGCTTTAAAAGCTAAGTAAACATGTCTATTCTACAGGTTGTCTAGGTCAGTAGAGTGCATTAATAGTGCACAGATTAAATAGAATACAAATCAAAGCAGCCGGTTGACATTACGAAAATAATTAAAGTATATTTCCATAAGTCTCTAAATAGTTAAAGATTTATCTACCACTATTATATACCCTTGCTTAGAGTATTTTAGTTATGACATCAAAGTTGTAAGGGGTTATTGGAGACATATTTGAATAAGTACAAACCAGGGCTGCAAAGACAAGGTAAGCTTGACATTGGTTTGGTTCACGGTTCGAAAACCTACTCACTGCCTCTGGATCTGGTTTGTGAACTTTGTGCTCCACATACATATGTCATATATTTAATTGAAACAAATCAACTTTTCATTTTGTATTGCCCGTTCTACTGAAAATATTGTAAGCAGTAAATATTTTCAAATAGAATTTGCGGGCTAAATTTCATCTCTACCTTCTGAAATTATCCTACAACAAAGTTATTTAGGTTAAGTCTTTTTAAGACATCTTTTAAACTGGTTTGTCTTGAGGTTATGTTACGAGCTAGAACTGGTTCGTTTAAAAACCAGTTCAAAGCACATTTCCACATTTTCTTGATCGCAGCAAAGGGCTTAGTCAATATTACTTTGTTTATTCAATTATTTCTCTGTCTTAAGGCAACTAGTCTCTCAACGTTAAAATGCTCTGGGGGCAAAGTCTTATCAACATCGGATAGCAATATCATAAAGAGCCCATAGAAACAATCGGTTAAGTTTTCAAAAGTGTAAGAAAGCAACTAAGTATAGCAGTATATCTGGGGGGTAGAGTGTTTAATCTTTGGCAATCGAAAGATTTGTGTGTTCCTCCTGGCTTTGAAAGTAAAAGTAGCTGGACATGGATATTCCAAAGATTAATAGGCTCGGTTGGGGGTTAGGACCTGAGCAAGTTTTTGAAAATAATTGGGGAAATACCGAGGCATTAACCTGTGTTGCCTGTTGGGTGAGAGACTTGGAGCTCGACTGTAGGCTGTGTTTACATGTAACTGCGCACCGCCGCCAATATGCATATCGAATGTGACTAATGGCAAATACAATTCGGATGACGATACCTGTGTGTGTATTGCTGGCAATCAGACCTCTTTTTTTTTTTTTTTTGGGCAATCAATCAAATGGCAAGTGGCGGGCCAATTGGCTATGACAGCGGCCGGAAATGAGCGCATACCACTAACCCACTAGCAATAGCAACTAGTCGATACCCAGTCACAGGCACGGGCATGTGTACGGCTATGGGCTGCCTGCCTGCCTGTTGCCCGACACGTAACCCGCTAACGACATCTCTCTAAATGCTTGATTAACACCAGAAATTAGCGTGTGCCAAAACTTGACGGCGGCAACGGCTGTGACGTCACTTGTTTTGTGGCTGACATTTTATTTATTTAGTTTTTTTTTTTTGCGTATTTTTTTTGTATTTTATTTTTTGTGTGTATAAATTTTCATGCAATCTCGAATCGGAGACGAGCGACCGCACGCGCCACCGGCCGAGTTATTGAGTGGAAAATTTCAGCGCCATGAAAATACGGCCGGGCATGCGGGATGATAATGAAATGCACTATAAATCGATTAGCACATTTTAAACGACGACGCGTCGATGCTGAAAAGCAGAACGTGCCGAAATCAATTGAGAGTTTGCCCTAATGAGTCGCACATGGTGCCTAGAGGATTGGCTGGCCGTGTCGCGCTCGCAAGTTCCACTTGCTCGTTTCTGGGAGTTTCGCGTTCAAGATAATGCCAACCAAGTGTCTGGCAACGGATTAGTTGATGAGCGTCGATGATGCGGCAACAATTTGCAACATTTAGATGCGTCAGCCAGCCAGCATGTTCGGGAACTGGGACGGGTGTCTGGGCCTAAGACCAATTAGCACTCAGTGATCCGGACCAAACACTGGATCACCTTCAGCAGGTTCTGGCAGCTGGTCTCTGGGTTATTGTTATTCTTGTCTAGGTGTTAGATGCAACGGATCAGCGTGTCGATTGCGTCAATGTGGTCGTCGCGTCGTCGTGGGATTAGGATTAGGCCTGAGTCGGTGTCGTTTAAGTCGAGTGCTTTGCGCAAAATGTTGCCCGATTGCGTCAGGATTTTGGCAATCGTTGAAACCAGCTACCAGCTTGACTGATTACTTAAGCATTTTACTCTTTCTTACCTGTGCGCTGTTGCCAAAAATTTTGCATTGTTTTAAATTTTAACTGTTGATTATTGCTCGGTGAGAAAACAAATGCGATTTAGTCGCCATTTGTATGCACTGCAATGTCTGTTCAAATATCTGACAACCTTATTTCCAATAGCGCACAGTGGCGCCAGTTTAATGGCAACGTGTGGCACTTAAAATAAAGTAAAGACAAAAACTGTTCAACATGTGAATGGGAAGTTACTTCAACTTGGCCGACAAACTACTTTGGTTAGCTACAATACCCGATACGCTGTGTGTACACACTGTGCACTCACATACAGCACATACGGCTGGCCTTGAACGCGGCCGGTTCAAGTTCAGCGGCATCATGCACAAACAACAATAAATACACTGAAACAAAAGCAAAGCTGTTTCGCTTTCGGCGCTTGCAGCAAGCAGCCAGCTTAGCCCGCACCCGTCCCCCCCAATAGCCACCCGCATCGGAGTCTAACACAGACACTAGCAGCGCCAGTCCCAGTCGCAGACCCGGTCCCAGCCCCAGTCCGAACTCGGCCAGATAGCGCACATTGTGTCTGCTTAGTTATTATTATTGTTATTGTTTTTGTTTTTGTTGCTGCTGCTCTCAAAGTTCCGGCTGAGCTGTCGACGTCGACGTCGTCGTCGTGGTGTTTGTTGTTGTAGCACAATGAACGCGCCTTGTGGGTTGGTCTGGACAGTGTTTGTCATTGCGCATACGCCGCGTGCGCCGTTACATTTATACGACTGCGTGGCACTCCCATCTCTAAAGGGCGCGGGGAGTAAAAGGCAACTAACCAAAAATTACACAAACCGCATATCCAACAACTGGGTCACTGCACGTTAAAAATATATCTATATATATAATATACAATATATATATATAAATATATATATTAGTATAACGACCTTGCCAGACCTTGAAGCATTCGCTGTTAGTAAAACAATTATCGTTGCTTCAGCAGCCGATATGGGTTATATATTTATATGTATGTATATATATATGTGTTTGCTCATAGAGTACGACTAATATGCAGTTGGCAAAGCCTTTTATGGTACTTAATCAGGGCCTGGTATTTGCAACAGCTGTACTAAAAGACCTAATAAATAGATAATGTTATTAAACGATTTGATTCGGGAAAGTTTTACGACACGCAGCTTATAAAAGTTCTATTACTATTATGCACTGTTGTTAATATTTTATTATTCCTTATATTATTGTTTATATTTTATTATTCCTTATATTATTATATATTTTAGATCTTAAACTTATTCGTATATTTGTAATGCTTCACGATTGAACAAACAAAACAATTATTTATAATTATTTTGAAAAATTCGTTTTTCTTTTTCATATAAATAATGAAAGACATATTTGTTATGCCTCTTAT